TAAGGATTCGTATCTTACTCACAATAAATACTAAGAAGAAAATGCAAAGAAAACAAAGGAAAAAATATATAATTCGTCATTTTACCCTTTAAATATAATATTATAACACACCATTCCCTTAAGTGTAAAAGGAAACTCAAGAGTTATAAATTAAATTTCACCAATATTATAAATTTATGAATTAATTTCTTTGCTTCTATCTTTCTAACCAACTATAAAATATACATGGTTCAATGTAAATTTGGCAAGTTGGTTGGGGTAAAGAAAGAAACTACATAATGAGCATCACTACAAGACAAAATCAGCAGTCCTAAAATGAATATGTCTCAATGTATCTAGTCAATCAGTTTTATCCAAGTAATATAAACTATTACTTTGCAATTTTAGATTTTTTCATTTTGATGAATTATCATTTTTTTATTAGACCAGTACAAAAAGTTGGGATAAGAATGAGGACATGTCATATTCCATCACTACCTCCCCTAAAAGCATAAATAGAACACACTTTGTAGTGAGTTGTTACAAAATTGGGGTCAAATGGCTTTCCTTTCTCTAACTCAAGTATTGGCATTAGTGTCTCTATGCTTCCTATTTCAAATCTCAGCCAATGGATATATCTATTCATCACCTCCACCTTACTCTCCGGTGTCTCCACCTTACCACTACTCCTCACCACCACCACTACCACCGGTGCACTCACCACCTCCACCTAAGAAACCATACGAGTATCCAACACCTTCTCCACCACCTCAAGTTTACCTACCAAAGGCTCTTTACTATTATAAATCTCCTCCACAAGTGCATTTTTATCCACACCCTCACCCACTTTACCAATCTCGTTCACAAACTAAGATCCAATTTAAGCGTCGCAAACCATCACCACCTCCGGTGCCCAACCATGCCTCAGGGCGCATCCCTATCGATAAGCCACCTCTATCTCCTCCACCACCTTTCCATGTCTAGATCTATGCTTCACCTCCCCCTCGTCAACACCATTAAGAGCTACCGCATTAGAGAATATCATCTTCATTCTTATTTATGTCATACATATTATTTTATAATTTATTATAACTACTCATGAATAAGAATAACATCTATTTTTTCTCTCACATTATCAAACATCATTCTTATTTTTATTCGGGTCCCACAATTTACCCCACAATTTTATATTTTTCAATAAATATAACTCAATTTTAATAATAATAACCTTAAGAATAACCATTGTGATTTCTCTAAATAACAACATAGTACAACTCCATTGTAAGCTTCTTCATACAATCTACATTATAACATAAATTTAAATAAATAATTAATTTCAAAATTTATTATCTTTTATCCACACTTATGTTTTGTTTGGTTGAAGAGGATAAAATAATAGAAGAGAGAAAAATGAGAAAGAGGGAGGGGAGAAAGAAAGATATGAGAAATATAGTAATTTTTTGTATTATTTGGTATGAGAAAGATAAAAGAAAGAGAAGAGAAAAGGGTAGATACATTCAGTGAAAAAGTGTGAACATACATTCAACAATACTTGTGTCAATGAACGCTATTAAAAGTCATATTCACACAATCTACATTGCTTGCTTCAGTGAGCGTTGTTCAAAGTCATACATTCATACATTTAACATCGCTTTTTTCGGTGAGAGCCATTAAAAGTCACATTCAACATCACTTGTTTCAGTAAGCAAAGTCATACATTTATACATTTAACTGCATTTTCTTTAGTGAGCGATGTTAACTCCTTATTTTATAATATAAGAATCTATTAAGGATGAATCTAGTTGGAGTCATTGGTGATTTACCAAACTTGTAATCTTTGTGTGTATTTCTTGTATTTGGTTATTATTTTTTCATCCTTATTTTCTGTCTAAATTTTGTTTTGATTTTTATTATATTAAATCTGAACTATGTTTTTTTGTCATTGACAAGAAATCATTTTATTTCTTCAGTTAAGGGAGACAATAAATTAATGGATTAGTCGTATACATTTTCACCACTTACGTTCCTTTCATTAGTAAATATAATCTTATGGGTTAATGAGTTTGAATTAAGGGAGACAACTTCATGCAATGGTTTATGAATTGAGTTTTCATAATGATGTTTCTATTGTCAAATCTCTTGCAAATGTGATGGAATTTGGCATACATGTTATGTGTTAGATAGAATGTCATAAATGTTGCCTTATTTGGAAAGTTGATATTTAACCGCACTAGCTTCAGTGAGCGATATAAATGTTACTTTCTACTACCCTATATTATAAGGCCCGTTGTTTTGTTATTTATAACTCACATTTTAGTCTCTAAAGGCAGAATTATTGGTATATTTCATTAGAGATAAAGTGCAATACTTTGCACGTGATCATACTATCAGTGTCTCGTATTTTTTAGTCACTTTCTTTGAAATAATCAAAGAGAGAAGAAATTGCATATAGTCAAAGTAGAAATACAGCTATATCCAACTGAAGAAGTTGAATGTGTCTCAATATGGGGCCTGAGTTGTGAGGTTTTGCAATATGATATTAGTCTAGAATTGAAGGTTTTTGGTCATGAATTCTAATTTTCCATTGTAATAAAGTTTGGTGCCAAAATGAGCATTCTCATCATGTGATTACTCAAACAATATTGCAAATAATATTTCCTGTGATGTTGTCGTTAAGAAAGTGGGAAAATATTTTAACAAAGTGGGAAATTATTTTAGGTAGGTGACATTTAATTGGGAGATATGAGTTCAACCATGGAATATGAGAATAAAAAAAATTAAATTTTAAATAGTTTTTGTTAAAAAAATAACATCAAATCATCACCGTTAAAAAATTATTTTTGGCACATGTCTTAATCTTCATCAAAGTAATGGACTTTTAGCACGAGTGAGACTCATCTCCATTAATAGAGAATGAATTGATTTTTCTTTGTATTTTAAGGTTAAAAATGTAATCTTATTTTAAATTAAAATGATATAAATGTCAATGTGTGTTGTTTTTTCTTTGTTTTTTTCATAGCATTTCCCTCACCATTAATGGAGAGGAGTCTGACTCCTTTATTGCTTTGATGAAGTACTGGACTCCCGGTTAAAAATTATTTTTATCATGTGTCATAATCTTTATGAAAGTATTGGATTGAATCACCCTAGGGGTTATAGGTTTGTCATTTCTTTATAGGAGGACTATATGGCAGCTAAAGAAATGTCATGCAAAATAATAGAAATATTTTTTGGTTGGAATATACCATGTAAACAACATTTTAGCATGTATAAAGTTGTTTAGTAGTAGATTATACATTATATATATTTAAAAAGTATTCTTGTTAATGTGACTTTTAATATGTGAAAAAGAACCTATTTATTACTTACCTAGAAATTTCTTAGAACGTGCAAACAGGGCAATAACTCAGTCTATAGTCTCCTCTAAAATTATATATGTAAATTGACTAGATCTAAATAGAGATAATTCATGTGAATAGGAGAAACGGGCTCCGTAGAACAATTCTTCCTATAGCTACATTTTCAAACACGTGAATAGAGAACTTGTAACTTATTTGTAACTTCAAACAACAAGTCTTTATTTAAAATATCTATTTCCCGACAAAAAAGAAGGGAGGGGATCCACTTATTTCTAGAGTAAGTTTAGTAAGTTTTTTAAACTTACTTCACCATTGAATTTCCCTAGAATTGATAGCTAAGATGTGGAGTAAGTTTTTTAATTTTGGAGTAAATGGATCCCTCTTCAAAAAAAAACATGAATAGGAGAAACGAAAGCTCATTAGAAAAAATATTTAATGTCTCAAAAAAGCAATCTCGGTGGAAGCACAATGAATATACAATGAAAGTAAGAAGGATAGAGAAGAATACAAGAGGAGATAAAAAACTTATATATTTTATTATATTTCAAAATAAGCAAGGATACAACACTTTATAAGAGAAAACTTAACAACTTGTTTAACTAATCTAATTAACTCCAAATATACAAAATAATGACATCATTATATAAAATATGATTGCTTGATCATTAAGCAATATTTGACTTATATAAAATATGGTTGTTTGATCATTAAGCAATAGTTGACTTTGCTGTTGACCAAGAATATACACTCCAAGCTCATGGGCCAAAAGGTTGGCTTGGTCCCTGACCCATGCTATGGCCTGCTGCCTCACCCGAGGTAAACCTCGGTCAGGTGAGCCAACATGCCTAGAGGTCTGACCTAGATGACTTAGGCTATGCTGCACCTGATGCGGCTGGATATGACCGAGATGACTTTAGTTGTGCTGCACCTGATGCGGTTGGATCTGACCGATATGACTTTGGTTGTGTTGCATCTGATGCGCCTAGATTGATGCTGTTGGCCAAGTCAAATTCGTTGTTGGCTAAGTCAAGTGTGTCAGGTCTAATGTTGATGGCCCTTGCTGATGCACCAATCTGATCGAGTCTGATGTTGTTGGCCTCTACTGTTGCGCCACTAATCATGCCTGATGTGGGAGCTTGACCGAGGTACTCAAGGCTCCACTCTTGACTTGATCAATCATCAACGTGCAAGAATTTTCCTCATTAGAGTATATCAAGTTTAACATAATGATTTAATAAATATGTTTTTCTGTTTCATAATGATTTAATAAATATGTTTTTCTGTTTCATAATAATTTAAATTATTCGGGAGATCGATTTTTGCAACTTACAAATTTAAATAATCCAGGTTCAGAAACTTATTTGGGGTTGGTTAAAATAAATAGTGTATTTTTACACCTCGATGTATGAAAAACATAGTATATTTAAATGTAACGGAGAATAGATATCATCAATTTATAATACATCATATGAAATAAAAATATTGGGGTATACAATAATAAGGGAAATATTGGCCGACTCTGAAATTTAAAAGAATAACTATTTATTTAAACCTGCAAAAACAATTATGCTCTTAAACACAACAGATCTAGAAAAAGAATTAGTTGTAAGAAATACACAGTACAAAATATAGACCATTTTATATATATTATACATAAATAAATACAAATTTGAGTGTGATATGTATCAGATGTTAAGATACTCTCCAGTACTAGAGAGAAAAATGCATAGAAAACATAGGAAAAAATATCATGATATAATACTTTTATCCTTTAAATATCCTTTAATCGCAAAAAGGAACTCAAGAACTTCCCTTTTCTGCCATGTGTTAGAGGTAAGGATATTCTCATAAACAATCACAACCTATTTCTCCATCATCTCAAATCTATGACACACACTCTCAACACTTATCCCTACTATCATCTTAGGTCCCAAAACCACACAAAAAATGATGGTGACCCATATGTACATCGAGAAAACAAAATCATGTTAATCTCTATAATACCAACACTAGAACAACCTTCTACCATGCCTCTACACCAAACTCAGCAACACCATAAAATACAAAAAAAAAAATAGAACAATCTTCTACCCTACATCTACACCAAACTCAACAACACCATAAGATACAAAAAATAAGAGAAAGAAAGACAAGAGTATTCTTCAGCGACATCTACACCAGCTCTTTCGTAAGTCACGAAGCATTGTCGGCCATGACCTTCTTGTTGTCGTCGGTTACCTTTACGAGGGAAATAGAAGATTTACCGTCTATTAAACATACACGCCTTTTGATGTTTCATGGTGTGTTGTCATCACAACGGAACATAAAGAGACTATGTGGATGGCCACAATGGAAGCATCAACAGCAGTGGATGAACCAACACCGGTGGTCACCTTCTCCTATCATACTACATATCAAATAGTGTTCTTACCCATCTCACCACCATCATAAAAAAAGATAGGATGTTGATTTTAAAGGAGTCATTAATGATAGGATGTTTGTTATTAGATTTATTAGAATGAGGATATGATAGAATATTATAGTTAGTTATTTAGATTTAATCAAATAATTTGTATTCAATATTTCTAGAATGTTCTTATATTGTTAGATGATGACACTTGTATGATCATCATCATCTTAAGATTTCTTTATCCTCTTTAAATAGTAACTTGTTCATCCATAAATTAATCAATGAAAATGAAGAATTAATGTTTATTTTGATGTTGTTTTAATTCATTTTCTTAAGAATTAATATTTATTTTGATGTTGTTTTAATTTCTTTAGTGTTCTCGGTAGATTTTTGCTACCAACACTCTAACAAATTTCATGAATAGTATACTTTTTTTAATCACTTTGTTTGCTTCTTTATTTCTAAACATCTATATATAAGAAAGAAAAATTACTTGAGAACGAATATTTGTGGGCATGATTTAAGATCAACTCTAAAAAATTTAAGCAAAGTCCAATTTAATAGACTCATTCCTTTTTTTTGTTAAAGGTAAAATATGCATGGTTCAAAGTAAATTTGGCAAGATAATGTGTTGATTGAGTAAGGATCATCTCCATTAATATAGAGACAAGTACTACAAAAACAAAGGAAATAATAGAGAGAATCATTGTCTCTCCATTAATGAAATTACACTTTTGTCATTGAAAACACAAGTAAAATCAAGTACTTGTCTCTACATTAAGAAATAGTGTACTTATTTGTATTGATTGGGGTAAAGAAAGAAACTATATAATGTGCATCACTAGCTTCCTTAAAAGCATAAATAGAACACATTTTGTAGTGAGGTGTGAGAAAAATGGGGTCACTAATGGCTTTCCTTTCTCTAACTCTTGTATTGGCAATAGTGTCTCTAAGCTTGCCATTTCAAATCTCAGGCAATGGATATATCAATTCATCACCTCCACCTTACCCTCCGGTGTCTCCACCACCACCACTACCACCACTACAAACTAAGATGCAAATTAGGGGTCGCAAACCACCACCACCTCCGGCGCCCATCCGTGCCCCAATGTTCAAGCCTGGTAACAGCCCACCATCTCCTTCACAAATTTCCCATGCCTACATCTATGCTTCATCTTCCCCTCCTCAACACTTTTAAATAGCAACATAATACAACTCTCTATGGTAAGCTTCTTCATACAATCTACATTATAACATTAATATAAATAAATAATTAATTAGGTTGACTGATAGAAGAAAAATGGAACCAAGAATAAAACTTTGGGCAAGAAGAAAGATATGGATGACTGATTCCTCTGACCCTCCATATAATGCACAACTTGTCTAAATATTGGGATCTAAAGCATTTTTTCTTAGTAAATTTCAACTTGGTAGGTATTCCATTCATGATTATATTCCGAGCTAAGCATTTTATTTATGTCGGTACTGTTAAGTATTACAAGCGTGAATGAAGAAGTCTCATATTGTATAAAAGTTGATGAGTTGAAGAACATATAAGTGGATGAACTCATAAACCTAATGTCTTAATGTTTTGGGTCAAGATGTGGTGTTAAACTCACTTATATGTTTCTTTCACTTAACCTATGAAGATCTCTCTGCATGTACATGCTTTGACCCCAAAGTTTCTTCAATAAATCTTTGTTCCAATTGTCCTCCTCTTGTAGCAATAATTGATATGAATTTTTATATTGTATAATAGTTTAATTATTGAACCAACATAGTACCACCATGCATATACTTTTAATGATATGATAAACAATACAATATAAATAATACCCCTCTCAACTCATACATCTTTAAAGACATACAAGATGTTACTACTCACGTGAATAAACAAACAAGGAAGAGTTATAATGAAATTACTGTTATAACTTTGTATTTTATATTTCTTTAGTAACTACCTAGAGTACTACTTAACAGAATCCTTTGTAGAATTCGAATGTTTTTATAATAACTAGCAAGGAAGAGTTTTACAAAACGACAATCACGCCCTTGGTGGAGTTAAACACTTATTTTACCATATCATTAGTTAACATGATCTGTTGTCTCATTTGGTGTCCCAAATGGTGTCTCGGGTCAATCACATTATCTTATTTAATTAACATAAAAAATTATAATAATATAAAAATATTTTATATTATTTAGAGGATTTTTATTTGATAGAAACATGGGGACATGGTCCATTTGAGACAAAGGATCCCTGACCATCATTAGTGTAGTTGTTTTAAATTTTCAAGACTTAAATAAATTACAATTTCTCTCTTTTACTTTATTTTGATCAAGCAAAAGAGAATATTATTAAAAATCTTCCATCCCAAATTTCGGCTGTACACCAGACCTGCGTTCTTAGTTTTAGCTTTTATGTATCCAAATTTCAACAGTACACCGACCTGCGTTTTTAGCTCCATATCTTCCACCCTAAGTTCCAGCAGTATATCGACCCGCGTTCTTGGTTTTACATTTTATGTGTTCAAATTCCAGCAATACACTGACCTGCTTCTTTGACTCCACATTTTTCCCTCAAGTTCTAGCAGTATACAGATATGCGTTTTTTATTTCACATTTCCCCCTCCTAGTTCCGACATTATTCCCTCGGTTCTTGGTTCACTCCAACCCTTCGTCAAACCTTTCGACATGCCCAAACGGTTGGCCATGTCAACAACAACTATGAGAGAATATTTCATCAACCTTCACTTTAAATAGGGAATTCACTCCATAAAGAAATAACATTATTCCTTCATACATTTGACTCTATCTAGGTCTAGTCTATTTAATTTATATATTCATAATTGAATGAGTATATAATAAAAATAGCAACTCTCCTATTCCACTAGGTATCATGAGTTTGTAAGAAAGCCTTTTTCTATTCATAAACGCGTGCTAGCTTCTGTAATCTCAATCTAAAATAATATTATGCATGACACCTTTGTTTGAATGTTAATAAAATAGTTACATTCTTTCTTTGAATCTTGTGTCACAATTTTGTCTACATTCTAATTTTTTGTTTAAAATTTCTGGACACCCACAAGGAAAAACGTTAGAATAAAAACTCTTTTCCTGATTGAAATATTGGTTAGTATATGTTACCAAGTAAAAGGTGTCATGCATGTTGAGAATATGAGAAGTCGCGAAAAAAGTATAATCAGACCGGACTTGAAAATAGTTTTGGTTTGTAATTTTAATCGAATGAGTGGTTGAATCGCATTGAATTGTAGAAATTTTGGTTCGACCGTGTTAAATCCGATTAAACTGGAATACCTCAGGAAGTGAACCCGAACGATTCACTTAAAGTTTAAAAACGGAACGTTACTCTAATGTTTTGTTTCTACTTCGGTACAAAAAAATGGAGAGAGACGTTACTTCAATATAGTTATATAAAATTTTATATTTATATATAATTATATATTTATAGACGAACATTATCAATTATATTTAAAATCATTCGGTCCGATAAGATAATTTAACTATCTAAATAGGTTAAATCTAATACGAAACATCTTCCAGTTTGATGTCCGGCTCGGGTTTCATAATGATTTTAACTGTAATGAAAAAATAAAAAATATTCTCTTTCTCTCAATATTTTAGTATTAGAGAGCTTGGTACTGAGAATGAGCTTAACTCATTATAAAGGGCAAATTTATATGTATGGGGTTGATTGACTTTTTTATTACCATAATGGGGCAACTTTTTGGGAATTTACGGGGGAGGGGTAGATTTTAGGTAAATCGTGGACCCTGTCCACGTTTTCCCTTTATTTTTTCGTAAAACATGGAAATCGTGGACCTTGTCCACGTTTTTCAATTTTTTTATTTTTTATGGAAATCGTGGACCACATCCATGATTTCCATTTTTTTCTTATTTAGTTATTTTCCAAAAACGTGGAAAGGGTTAACATTTTTTTTTGAAATTTAGCATAAACATGAATATGGTCACATTGTAGGAATATAACCCTTCATTTCCTATTAGTATTGTTATTATTTAATTTATTTCATGTTTTATATTATTAACAATATCATTATTAAAATTTAATATTTTATATTATGAAATATGAATATTAACATTATAATTGTTGTTTTAGGTAGATGGCTATCATATTAACAATATCTCTTACGATAACCATCTACCTAAAACAAGAATCATAATGTTAATATTGATATTTCATAATATAAAACATTAAATTTTAATAATGATATTGTTAATAATATAAAACATGAAATAAAGTAAATAATAACAATACTAATAATTACCTTTTACAATTGATGTAAAATGAAATGAAGGGTTGTGTTCCTATATTTCTAATGTGGTTCTGTGCTTCTGTTAGCTAAACTTGTGAGTTTGATTGTGTTGTGCATGTTTGATTGTGTAATGTGTGGTATATAAATATAGTGTGTAAACTGTTAATCATATTCACGTTTATACTAAATTCCAAAAAAATAAATAAAACGTTAGCTAACAGAAGAAAAAAAATTAAATAAGAAAAAAAAATGGAAATCGTGGATCCACGATTTCCATAAAAAATAAAAAAATTGAAAAACGTGGACAGAGTCCACGTTTTACGAAAAAATAAAGGGAAAACGTGGACAGAGTCCACGATTTACCTGAAATCTACCCCTCCCCCGTAAATTCCCAAAAAGATGCCCATTACGGTAATAAAAAAGTCAATCAACCTCATTCATGTAAATTTGCCCATTATAAAGACCTTTCGGTATTAGACTTTCCTTTACTATAATGTGAGGAGAGATAATATTTTTTATGTTTATTATTTATTTAATTCAAAAATAATATTAAATCTGGACTCTTAAGTTTTTTATATTAAAATATGGGTGTAGTGTAGTATTAGTATCTAGGATCCCAACCCAATTAAATTGGACATATAATTAAACGGATGAATTCAAATGTTTCTTTACCTATAGTACTACTTAACACCCTTTTGTAGAATCTACAAAACGACATTCACGCTTTCATGCCTTGTTCGAGTTAAACACTTATTTTACTATATTATGGATGGAGTTGTTATAACGTTTCAAAATAAGGTTTAAGTAAATTATA